AAAGCTCTTTGGATGCATCGTAGGTGGGCCTTTGGTCAGGTTGCGTTGTCGGTCAGACTTTTGATAGTAACAGGTTAACCCTAATGCAATAGGGTATATGTGCCAAAGACAAATCATTAAAAAGCGGACTATGCAATATTGAACCACGGCGTTTGACAGACACTGGTTGGCCTCCTGTTTTTTAGGCTTTTTTGTTTTGGTTCCTTGCTCTACGCTGCTAACTAGACGGTGAGCTTGGCCACTCGGTTACGAGATTAAGTAGAGGTTAAGTAAGCAGTACTCGAGTTTTACCGCATCAGGTTCTGATGCGCCCGCTATCTCAGCCGTCGAACGCTTCACTAGCATCGTCACTTTGTCACTTTGTCTGCCACGGCTGCCACACCTGAATAGCATATTCACCGTGAGGTCGCACGTAGGCATTAAGCATTTGGGGAAAGATTGAGTGTTCAAACTGACCGAAGGCTCTGCGAAGAAGGCCGAAGTGTTGATTGCCGGTTCTCGTCGCCTTCTCTGCTTGTTTTGAACACCCGAGATCGTCCTGCACAAGTACACCCAGGTCACGCTCCTGAGAAACCTTCGCCAAGGTGTGGTATCCAATCTTTTAAGCGCTCACCGGCTGGTAACGCAAATGCATCACTTTGCACTTAGCTATGTTCAATTGAAACTTGTTCCTCTTTGACCATTCGTAAATGCAATCTAATTCATGTTGGAGCAGATCCTGATCTGGCTTGTTACCAATCGCCCGCCATATCTTGACGTCATCGGCGAAATGCAGGAAATTTGAGGAGATGACCCTTGCCAAGTCGTTGATAAACACCAGGAATAAACGCGGTCCCAGCACTGAGCCTTGTGGGACACCACATTCCACCTCAATTGGGTTAGAAAGTGATACCCTAACACATACTTTAAGCTTTCGTTGGTAAAGGAAGTTGCCAATTTAACCAAGTACAGGATCTCCGATTCCGTAACTCTGTAGTCTTTGAAGTAGGATGCGGTGATCAAGGCGGTCGAAAGCATTGGAGAAGTCCGGATAGATGACATCGACTCCGACCCCATCATCGGCCACTTCCGTCTAACTACCTCGTGCAATAAGTAGGTTGGTGGTGCATGACCGGTGTTGACGGAAGCCATGCTGTTCCAGTACCAAAATGTTGCATTTTTCTAGGTAGTCCATTAAAGCCTTAGCGACGGCTGCTTCCATCACCTTCGCGAGCACAGGGAGGAGAGTCACTGGACGATAGTTTGCAGGATCGGAACGGCTGCCGCCTTTAAAAATAGGGTTTATAATGCCACACTTCCACATAGTGGGGACTTGTTGTTCATCAAGTCACCTCTGGAAGAACTGTGACAGGGGTTCAGCTAGCCTGTTGCCGCAGCCTTCAGTGCCTTCGGGCGGATGTTGTCTGCTCCTGGAGAACTATGCTGACGCAGTGAGAGTAACTTTCTTAGCACAATTGATGGGTTGAAACTAACATTTGTAAACAAAGGTGTCGGTAATAAGCTTGATATTATGGGACAGGTAGATGTTGCGAGTTCGAAGAATGGGGCGCATTGCAGCCGCAGGGCGTTAGCTGCTTCTTCGGCGCTTTTTACTCTATCACCTGTCGTGAACAGTGGGGTATTACATGCTTCACTTTACGAAGCTTATTGCCATGCTTATACAGCAGTTTGTTGTTTGCCATGAACTTTTTGACTAGGGACTGTTTATAAGTTACTTTGTCCTCACGGACAAGTGCAGTGCAATGGTTGCGATGAGTCAGGAATTTGTCCCAAGTCTCTGAGTCTGGGTTAATCTTGTAGGCACACGCCATGCTGCATCCCTTATCGCCAGGCATTTGCGAGTCCTACTCCTTATAATTGAAGGCATTTTCGCGGGACGACGGGGTTTGGTCTCTGATGCTCTGTTGACAATGTCGCTGAGTTTATTAACGAACTCTACCCAAACGTTGTCAAGTGGACTTTTGTTTGAGAATTCCCAAGCAGCTGCGTCGGCGAGTTCTTTCAATACGTGGTAGCGTGTGATTGTATGAGTTAGTTCCGAGTGTTCAGATGGATACTCTGCATAACACACATAGTTGAACGATATTACTACATGGTCACTGAGACCTAATGGACTATCCATCAATAACTTGTCAACCATGAGCTCCTCATTCGTGAACACAAGGTCTAATATGGACGATTGTTTTGCTGTCCTGAATCTGGTGGGCATGGTGACATGATTGTACAAAGGAATATTAGCGATCAGTTCATGCAAGTCTTCTTTGAACTGCTCACTAGGCGATGCCGAAAACTCCAGATTGTGTAGATTGAAGTCCTCTGAGACGAGAATGTGGCTGTACCTAGTGCGTGTTACTCTGTTTAGGCCACGGATCAAGCAGGAATCCTTTTCCGGAGTGGAAGTTAGGTGTTATTCCGAGCTCCTAGCTAACTATGTGATGCTGCAAAAAGCTGTTTTGTCATATTACTGATCGTAGTTCATGAACAATGTGTAGTATTACTTAGTAGTTTCATGCCAATAGAAATTAAGGAATTTTAATAAACAACACCTAACTTTGACGATCTTTTGGACTGGCCTTCCCAATCTCTCTTAAGAAGTTTTAACGGTTGTGTTGTCTTATTATGTTTTCAATCTCGGATAGAGTACGCTCATCTTAAATAACAATTCTTCCTTGGTCACCATACAGCAATGGATTTTTTATCATTCAAAGTAAAGCATCTGAGCTTCTTGACTTAAAATTTCCCTTTCCCATAGATCAATATTTTCATTTCTGCCTAGCTTGTTAGTCTTAAAAGGAACAATGATATATCAGTTACGCGACCGCCTGTATCATTTAAAATGCACTTTCTGCTTATCGTATATGTGAGTATAAATGTCGTGTTGGAATAAATTAAAAAAGATGCTTCCACACGTGCATAGGCTGTGTACCTTTACTTGGCTTGACTGAAGCTCTTCTCCAGCTTTATGCTCGATGATGTCTAAATTAAGCATTTGGGATCGTGCATACTATTTGCAGATTGACTTATATTTCATGGAATTAATATACATGCAGAAAGCTAAAATACTTCCAAAGAATTAAAATGGATGTAATTCAGTCTCTGTCTCGCACTATCGCCTCATGCTTTAACGAAATATTTTGTCTCTACTAGATTTACGACTACAATTTAAGAGTGATATAAATGCCAACGATAGCTGCGCTTTGGTAAGTATGGTTGCGATTTAAAGGCGAGTAAATTTACTGTTGCTATGTTTGAGTTGAGGTATTTTGGGACAAAGTATTTTTGACAGATTAACGCGTCATATTATATTTCCAAATGTATGTGTGGGATTCCGATTCATGTTTTGGTCACAAACATTAACCTGAAATCGACTTGCATATTATACCTTCTATTTTCAACGATGATAGATGTCATTAACAGGTACGTTAACATATCAAAATAACAGCATTTCATCTCAATATGTGGTTTCACTCTGCAACAGCTTATCACATCAAGACGTGACGTCTTCATTTTGAGCGGGATCCTTACTTGCGAAAACGATATAATTTCTCACACGGGTCTTCGGTCGAATATACATTTGGTCCGCCTGCGTGTGCTAGAAAGGCTGAACGGGATTCCCTTATACTTACTGAGCAACGCAGAGATAGCTCTGAGAGTGGAAGCTCTTTTTAATTTTAACATAGTTGGATGCATCACTTTCGAACCCGGCCCCACTGCAAACCTACTAAGAACGAGTGCGTTTGCCATATATATACCCACATATCTGATCAACACACTTTCATTGATGCTACGTCATTTATTCAGTTCACTTCGTTTGTTGCGTTTAACTTAGGTATCTTTAACTTACAAAGACGGTTGTGGGTTCATCTCTTCAACACATATGGAGAAATATGTCGTCAGTCAACATTCTGGCAGTTTAGTAGCAAATAAAAAGTTATTATCTCCAAATTGTTCTATGTAAACGAATAGTTTGGAAATATTTGCAAATTATAATGCGTGATACCACTGATTTTAGATGCAAGTACGTGCTTTAGGCATAACTTGGATTAATAGGTAATCAATCACAAACACCGAATTGGATTTTCTATAATGTATAACGCTGAGTTGTTAAATTTCTAGTAACACAAAGTATCGCGAATTTCGTTTCTTAGTTACCTTTCCTTATACAAAATACCTATATAAATATGTATACAAAAAATTAAATCGTTGTGGATTTGACTCAACTTGAGAAAACATTGTATGTTATGAACACTCGTGTACTTCCGGTTTTAAATTCAAAATGCACACAACAGCTGATCAACGGTTAGGTGAGTTCATATCACTTTATAATACGAAATGTTTTTCGTCTCAGGTCAAAGTAAAGAGAAGACGTAAGTAGTTTTATGTATTATTTACCGTTTAGCTGCACTTCGAATCAAACAGTGAAATACGATTGAGATAACATTTATTAAACGTTCTGTTTTCTGAGATGGTTTTACGCATTCCATTTTCGCTCACAATCTCAATCAGCCTTTAATGTGTTTGAGGCGTTTATTCCAACCTTCACACTGACCAGCCACTATTTGGATAGCTGATATACGTGATCAATTAAGCCTTAATAAACATAAGTTAACAGCTGTCATTTACACCGAATTCGGTCTCCATCTTCTCTGTGGACTTCGGCAATTACACCAAACCACTGGGTCTATTCGGCTGTGCATAAAAGATGTTGCCAATGCTTACTTTCACCCTTGAATTGTTGTTCACTGTAATGAAACAAATCAAATTGCGCCATATGCCGGAAATAGGTAATTGTGATACTAACTCCATTTTGTCAAAGAGAATGTCGAGGTAACAGAGTTCCCTTGGTAACTTTAGCAAACGAAAAGGCGACATTGACCTGCTTTTGGTAATCATGGAAAAACATTTCGACCCATGCATAATCAGAGCCTAAAATCGCAAGCATCAATGTGGTGTGTCATGTTGTATAAAATTTATTCCATATCGCCATGGAGAAGGGCAGGAAAGTTCGTTTTCATTTTTCACCAGTTCTTTTTTACTTATTATATATCGTCTCAAAATTACCTACATTTTAGTGTCGTTTATTTCTGGACCTGGTTCTACAAATATATGTAATCAGGTGAGATCGGCCAAGCCCAAATGTTTATTCAACCTAGTACCCATTCAACCCAAACTATGGGTACCTCGTACACTTGTCGAAAATGGTGTATCACTAAACTAGCTAGCAGTTCCATGCAACCATGTGGTGTGTAACGATTGTCGCTCAATCAACAAAGTGTCAACCCATTTCCCTGAAATAAATATTGGTGTATTGCATCTATTGTTAAGATTGCATTAAATTATAAACTGGTAAAGGCCTACGCATTCATTGCGAGTGAGAATAATTAAGCAATAAACCATTTGATCCAACGGAACTTCACGTTGACAACAACATACTTAGCTTGTCATTCCTGTCGGTATCAGGTTGTAATAGGTTGGTACATCAATGTAACAGCTAAATATTGGCTCACTAAAGTTGGCGCAACTAACTATATATTGCAATATAAAGCTTCCTCATCAATAATAACGGAAAATATATTTCATTTCGGGCATAGACAGTCGAATATTTCACCAGTTGCTTATAACCCATGTAAGTCCGTATACTTCGCATTGTCAGTTTAACGTCATTACGGTTTGTTTACTTATGCGAAGTGTAATTTGCTATGTTAACTAAACAATAAGCGACCATTTAAGGTACGCAGAAAATAGCAGAGAATTAGCAAAGCTGCTAGATTATCCGAATCGAGTTGTATATATTAACCACAGATTTTTGTCTAGGTGGACAAAAACCCATAAATCTATTGTTCCAATTTTGTCTACTGGAATGTTTTGGATTATAATGATTAAACGATACAGCAAAATGTAATGTGACATGATTGGTATCACAACAGATTAAATGAGCATGTTGCTTCTCCACAAATTCACCCCCTCAGGTTATTCAACTGATGGGCGCAAACTTTCACACCTTTTACAAATCCTGTGTGAAGGAGATGAGGGATTTGAATCGGCTATCCTCCTACCGACTGGAGGCGAATGAACCATTTTACGAAGTCGATGAATTGCTATATTTGGAAAGGCACGCCCAATTGGTGTATGATCTCAAAGAACCTTATTTAAGCTGTGAATACAATGGATTTATTCAAATGGAACAATGTAGGCGATGAGCTGGAGTGAATTTCACCAATCAGATTATTGTTGTAACTAGTCCTTTTATGTTCATCAAAATTAGCTTCCAGTTGAAATTTTCGAAAACCATCATCATACTCATTTTTAATACATTGACAAACCACCATAGACATTGCCTGATAGTTGGTTATAGGCAAATTCACTCGCTTATGTTATGGATAGTTTTGAATTAAGTGCCGAATCCTTTACTAACATTTAGACAGCATTGCAATTATTGATGTGAATTATATTAATACGTGAAAGTTGAAAACTGTTTAACTATCTGTATTCCAGGAAAATCTAAGAAACACCAGTTTTCAGAATTAACCTTATTCCAGTAATTCAACCCAAATACTTTTACATCTAACATTTTATGCTGCTTAATTTAAGTAGCTATAAAGGCTGACTGTTACATTCAAATATGTCGCCTTAGAGCACTCTACTATATTTCAATTAAACTTTCTGCAGTGCCTGATCAACAGCCGGACGGACGCAACTGACAATGCGCAAACAATTGCGGTTAAAGTCCACACTTTTTAAATGCAAGCTTGTTTAATTATTACACGTGCATATTCCTTACACTAATGAATTATTAATAAATATTATAATCCTGTTCCCATAGATTAACTAAATATATTTCACAGTTACATTCCTTTCTCTGTACAATACGCGACTAGGAATATACAAAGCATTGTAACATCACACATCGATGGTAATGTCGAGCTTCAATTCATAACCGTGTGGTTGAGCTTAAGTATATAGTCGTGACCTAGAATTATTAAGCAGTGTGTCAAAGCTTGACATATGTGAATGGTCAAAGTCACCTCATTTCCGATAACTTTTACACAGACGCAAGAGCTGCTCCAAAAGGGAGTTTTTAGCGTACATTGCACCAGTGCCTGTTAGCATATCAGCGTAACTGAGTGATTGATTAAATTAAACAAAGCAATCAAAATCAAATTTTTCACACAGTGTACTCGAGCTACGAATTCAGGTGAGTTGATAGTGCAGCAACATGACTGGTACGAAATTGGCTCCATCCGGGGAAAATGTGGTTCGAAATGATTCGATTTATGGCACATACTTTGGAGAAGACAGAAACGCTCCATGGAATTTGAAACAAGTTTAGCGGCTATTTTAAGTAGGTAACATGCGACTGACACCTTGACACGGTGGAGTAAAACCTTTTAAGAGCTGCGGGATTTATTTACTACCCTAATTGCGTGCAGTTCCAAACACGGAAATAGGTCAAACTCCCAGTCAGTAGACACAAAAACAGACCAATATAGAAGCGGTGAGTATTCGTCATCATGCGATTAAATAACTAGTTAGGTTTGAATTGACTTGTATATCGTTCCTCCTACACGAGGGCTATGTCTACACTCTCACACTGGAACCAAAATTCGTAATTCCAGTAGGTACGTATGTTCGCATATAAGGAGCGAGATCCGCTTGTTCCAGACTGATGTTTTTGGAAGCTCAAGTAACCTTATATCGGTAAATAAGTACACTGAGTTATGTGTGGCTGAAATTCATGTATATCCCGACGACATGGTTGCTAATTCGATCAGGTTTGTTGTTGCAATGGGATGTCAATGAGTTTAGTCCAAACTTACTAAACTTTATATTGTATTTAAACTCATAGTGATAGTGATATCATTGAGTAGGGAAGGATGGCACCAAAGTTACCAACCTTTGACTCCTGATATACGTAATTCCGTAATCTCACTGGACATAGAATGGTGATAATATTTACGGCGCATAATGTGTTTGCGAATAAAATGCTACGGCGTTAATTCTTAGAGGAATAGATCGCTTCAACTAAAAGATCCTGCAATGACATTTGTAGTGATGCCGATTTTCTGTTATTTAAATGCTGAACTACTGGATCTAGTTGACATTCATAACTAGGTAGCTAAAGTGGCCGATATTTCGGCTTTTATTCCAACAGTTTCGGGTTTGAATACATCTAACTTCAACTGATGAGATCCACTGAGATCGAAACGAGTCATGGATTTCAGTATTTAGGTGCGGGAAAACTACAAACTCGATCAACTTGAGCTACGATCCTAGTGATCAAGCAACCAAGATTCACTTTATTGGGATTTGCGGTCCACATTTACATTATCCGTCGCAATCCATCCACACAACGTGTAGTTACAAATGACACACCAATCAACAATTTGCCTTTGGGCTAAGCTTTGCCCGTCCTGACCCAGTGGCTAAGGGGTAGCGGCCATAACTAACATCACAATGGTCCTGTGTTTGATGTTTTGCTACCTCACTGAGGAGAACAAATACACCGAAGCGCATTGGTATTTGTGAAACATCCCATTCAAACTGAAACGAAACAGAAATTTATCTTCGAACACGCCACTGCAGCCCCCGTTGGTGAAGGGTGTTGCCGATCCATCTAAGTACCTGCTCCGCGATTTCACACCGCTACAGCCTCTGAATAACTATGAGATAATTCTGAGGATCCAAAGCTTTGGAGATATCCAGGTCAAGCTAACTTTTTCAGGCCCCACTATCGGTAGGTTCGGTCATGCCACCTTGTGCACACATCAAGCAGGAGGTGCATAACAAATGCTGTCGTAAACCGCGCAGCTTCGGTAACAGGATGTTACACGTTTTCATGCAATACATTAACAAGTCTCAGAGTGGACCACGTCCATAAACTTTGAAGGCAACCGGAGTAGAGTTACTGAGCGTTAGTACGCAGGGTTTGCATGACTGTTGTCTTTTATAAATTTGATGATAATACTTCCTTTCCAAATAGCCCGGAATCCATATTCACGACAATAAATTTTATCAATGAACCCCAAATCCTCGAGTAGCTTGGCGGATGTAACTGTCAACGATTTTATTACAAATATTACCGGTTGCTTGAAAACTATAATAGGCCGTGATCATAAATGAATTTTACACAATAAATGGATTGGCGTTAAAATGTAAATTCTGGATGGAAGCCAAACTGCACTTCCGTACGTAACGGTGCATTGCAGTTAAAAAACCTAGGATAACCTGATAGAAGTTTAAAAATTTTAAGAAATAGATGCATGACATGGAAAACTTTTCTTTTGATGTGCCTGCGGAACAGTATGCTATGTAGCCACATGAATTTGCATTTGTAGTATTTCCCGACGATGTATAAGTCTTCGTGCGTATAAATCGCATACTTGTGCACATGAAGCCTTTTCACTGTGGCTCAGCGGGCGTTTTGTCGCAAAACTTCGCATCTATACTTATTCGTCCTGCTTTTAAAAGCTTCATCTTTGGATAATATTTTCTTGAGTACACTCTAGTGCATTTTACATTTACCCTGAATTCTAATAGTTTGGACAGTTTTTCGCCAATTTCAAAACGCCAAAATTTGCACAAATCCAACCGTCGGAGATGTTGTTTGTTCTCACTTAACAGACCATCATAACGGTTTTCGATCGAAAGGTCACTCGTTTAAACACCATATTGCTTGAAGCAGCTACAGTTCTCAATGCAAAATTACAAGGCGCGATTCAAAGGCTTAACAACAAAAATTCTCAATCACCTACTTGTGTACTATGCCCCACGTCCAACCTAACACATTGAACTGGAAGGTCAGAAAAAACAGCCTGCGTAAACACAACTGAAACATGAAAACCATGAATTGCCGAAAACGTCAATAACAGCAACACATTTCGCCAAAAAGGACGAGTCATTCAAATGGCGCATAAAATTCCTCACCAAGCGCGATGCACAGGGTGTCACAGTATAAAGGCCTACGTGGACATTGTTATAAAGTTGCTAAGGAAGAATTTTGTACCGTAACCTTTGCAGGTATTTAAATACGAGATACCCCAGGTTTAAACATAGTCAAGTCAACTAAGTTAACAAAACGGATACTCTACCGCTTTGCGTGGAAATCAGTTAGTCCGGCGGCAGAAGACCGATCACCGCGTACATCTACCTACTGTGGCTCGCTTATGTTGAACACCGGCATTTTACATAAACCTGTCTTGCTCATCAAGCGAGATGCGTACAGACAGCCACAACGTGTTTCCGGCGGTCGTTAGTTGTCAGCTAACTTCCCGCTGCGTGCTGTAGGCCATGGCTAACCGTAGGCGTTGTAGCAATGGATGGTTGTCCGTGTGTCTTGTTGGATAGGCAGCGAAGTCGGCGTATTTAAGATAAAGCGCGGTACCAAAAGTGCGGCGCGAATGTGCGCACGCGATGGCATCTTAGCGAACCGGGTGTTTTGGATAATCTGAGGCAACCCAAGTCGTGTCAATGTCCATGAATCACCGTCACAAGTAATGGAACATGAGCATATAGTGCAGTCGGGATAAAGTAACGTGTCTGTTACCCAGCGCGCGCTGATTACTCGGCTGTAGGGTGAATACGGTTAAACTCCGCATCAACCTCACGAAGATAAAATGCAATGAACACGGGGATGTGTCCCGTCACCGCCCGGTACGTGCCTCAAATAGTAAAGACGTGCGAGCAAACTAGGATTTTGTATGCTGGGAAGAGAACCGGACCGCTTTGCATCTTCATGGACAACTATTCAACTTGCGCTGTAGTCAGTGTAGTGTCAAAACTCCCGAGCTCAGCATTCGTTGGATCGCACAACACTGTGACACGACCCGTGCACTTCAAACGCAGGTTTTGAACCCATGCAATCCGGAGAAGCGGCATGAATTTTGTCGCTGGTTTTTGGATCATGGGGATATTCGTTCTGTCATTTCAGAGATAAGGCACTGTTTCATCTGCATAGACCAATGAAACATTACTGTTGGGCTACCAGCAACCCACGAAAATACACCGCATCACGTATGCGCCACAGTGTGAAACTGATGGTTTGGGCTGAATTAACAGGCCAGAAAACCTTGGGCCCATATTTCTTTTCCGGGAAACTGTGACCGGTAGGTTGTTGTTTTGAAGTACCAAAGCCTTATCCTTACCTAGCATCTTGGTACTTGGAAATGCCGCATGCATTTGTGCTTCCACAGCTGGAGGCCGAAGGGGAATGCAGTACCATTTGGTGGCAGCAGGATGGTGTACCTGCACACTAAGTTTGATGCGAGATTGCTTACCTCACCGACAAATTTGGCCACCATTGGATCGGATGCGGTGGACCAATGGGGTGGCCTGCTCGCTCACCAGATTTGAACCCCATGGACATTTTGGACTGCAAGAGGAACACCGGCGGATATTTTGAACGCACTGTTCTCTAACATAGATGGTCGTTCAAATACATTTCTGTTAATATACTTTCCTTCTTTCACAAATATGTTAACGAATAAACAGGTTCACTGGCAACTGGTGTTAGCAATACGTCCGGTCGGATAGCATTCTTAACGTCCAGACTGTACTTGAGCACACAAACAGCAGACGCACCGGAACTTATGATGGCTCATTATATCAGAACCACTGGGTCGTTATGAGCTGAGGTTTGTCCAGCCTTAATGAAAAGCCGACTGTATTGTTGACTCAGTTTCAGGCTATTCCCTGTGAAGTTGGTGTTCGGGCTGAGTTGCGTAGATAGTGACATGCCTAAGTGGGGTCGTTCCGTATATGGTAGACTAATAGGAGGTCTCCACGTAGCCATCTGTAGCGTCTACGGAACGCTGCGGGTGTTTTAGTCGCTGCTGGTACGAAA